TCACTCTCACACTCACTCACTCTCACACTCTCACTCACTCTCTCACTCACTCTCTCACTCTCACTCACTCTCACTCACTCACTCACTCACTCACTCTCTCACTCTCACTCACTCACTCACTCACTCACTCACTCACTCACTCACTCACTCACTCACTCACTCACTCAGACAGACAGACACACACACAGACACACAGACACACACACAGACAGACACACAGACACTCACACAGACAGACACACAGACACTCACAGACAGACACAGAGAGACACACAGACAGACACAGACAGACACTCACACAGACAGACAGACACTCACACAGACAGACAGACAGACAGACAGACACACACACAGACACACAGACACACACACACAGACACACACAGACACAGACACACACACACAGACACACACAGACACAGACACACACACACAGACACACACAGACACAGACACACACACACAGACACACACAGACACAGACACACACACACAGACACACACAGACACAGACACACACACACAGACACACACAGACACAGACACACACACACAGACACACACAGACACAGACACACACACACAGACACACACAGACACAGACACACACACACAGACACACACAGACACAGACACACACACACAGACACACACAGACACAGACACACACACACAGACACACACAGACACAGACACACACACACAGACACACACAGACACAGACACACACACACAGACACACACAGACACAGACACACACACACAGACACACACAGACACAGACACACACACACAGACACACACACAGACACACACAGACAAACAGACACACACACAGACACACACACAAACAGCTTGTTTCTGTGAAACTGCTTTGAATCAGTCTGTAGTGTATGAATAAATGTGACTGCTGTTGGACTCAGTGAAGCAGAAGACATCATCATGTGTTTACCGTCATAATAGAAGCAGATGTTATCAGGCAGCGGCTCGTATTCAGGAGGGAAATACGGTCCTTTGTGCTCCAAACTGCTCCATTTCTGAGTGTCTGATGACTTTCCTTCCTCCCACCTGAACGATCAATCACAGGTCAATCACAGATCACACAATAACACAACAGAGAGACAGAAATATAGCGCACAGCAGTCACATCTGCGGATTCAACCTTTCCAAACATTAAGAATACACTTTATGCAAGTTTAATGAATCTGTAAATATATACAAATCATACATTAATAATGTAATAACTAAAATCAACAATTAAGTAATTGTTTAATTTAGTTAAATAATTATTAATTTATTATTATTATTATAAATATTTTTAATAAATTATAACTTAATCATTATCAAGATTTCAGGTTAATATTTAATAAACGGTCTCTTCCAAATAATATGATCTCAAAGCTGCAACACACAATTCTACAATAATTCTGTCATTAAAGTGAAATTCAGCATGTCAATAAAAAAAACTTATTTTATAGTTGTTATATAGCGAGTTATGTAGGTATAGTTTACGGGTCACAAAAGCTTATGTGGACGCGTGATAACACTGATAATTATTAATAATAATAATGAAAATGAGCATTAACGAATATGAATCTGATAGCAGCGGAAGGGTCTGAACTCTGAACTCGTGTAAAGTGATGTAAACTCGTGAGCTGACCTGCAGTCTGACAGAGTTTTGGCGGCAGTCGCATAATAATATCTGACTTTATTACGTTCCGCTGAAATATAAATGAATCGCGAAATGAAACGCAAACATGTTTTCATTCCTTGCAGACGCGGCGGACAGCAGACATGTGCTCGTTTGCGCATGCGCACTCACGACGCGCTTCCGGGGGGGGGTGTCACGTGTGTGTGTGTGTGTGTGTGTGTGTGTGTGTGTGTGTGTGTGTGTGTGTCCGACCAATCACAGCCGACTACAGCTCCGCGCACGTTACGTCCTCCAATATTTGACAGACGCTGCTTCAATCACCATTACGTTAAATATTATTACTTCATTCACTTTATAAATTAAAAATGCAATAAAAAGTCACATACATTACAGAGCAAAATTGAGAAATTACAAACGAACTCCTTTTAGAACACAAATAAACTCGAATTCACACTGAACTGAATTAATTTAAAGAAATTATAACAAAAGAATTACATTAGCCCAACACTAGTTTAATGGAAGGTCGTTTCCACCACAGATTTATTTATTTTTACCTTCCAAATCACAATTCAATAACTTTTTCCCATGCAGTTCTGAGGAAAAAAAAAGTTTTTTAATTTTTATTCTGTGGCAAAAACAAGCTTCCATAAGTCTATGTATTCCCTTATATCCAGATTTGATTTATCCTAAGTTTATTTTAAAAATGAAGTTCATTATTTACACTGATTGTATGAACTGAACTTCGGCTAAAACGATCAAATGGATGATTAAAGACTACCTGAAGGAAAACAGCGGACACCTACCACTTCCACTTATCAGACTCCTCCCCCTTCTTCTTCTCCTTCTGGTCTCCGTCTTTCTTGGTCTTTTTGTTCTTCTCTGCTTTATGTTCAGAACTCGTCTTTTTCCTTTTCCTCCCAGACGACTGATTCTTGTCGTGTTTCTCTGGGCTCTCTTCATCTTTGACCCTCTTCTTCTTCCTCGTCTGGACAGATTCACACAGGTTTTCATCCTCGCCGCACAGCTTCACATCTGCAGTCCTCTGCTTATGACTGTGACGCTGCTTGCTGCTTTTTGATCGAGTCTGAGAACCAATCATTAAACATCATTAAACCCCACAGACATGGCCATCAGGAGCAAATACATCAAGTAAATAAAGTCAAATCAACATACCTTCTCTTTGTTTTTGTTGATTTCTGGAGAACCTGGTTTCTGCTGTCCATCATTTCTGATTTAAAGAAACAGTACACTATTTCTCAATTAAACTTATTTCCATATTCTAACTCTAGAAAGTTAAATTCATCATGCAGCTAATATTTTTCATTGCTTAGCACAATCAAACCGAGATATCTTGCCTTTCATCAGGATCTACTTTGACATCCTGTGAAATTAACATGCAAAATCAAACACCATCAGATTGAAACTCAGGTATTTCTCATATATTTTAAGTGAAACATGAGCGCTTACCTCATGCGTGCCACCATCTCCTGCTTCACATTTCACTGCGCTGCTAAAACTCATGAACATCAGACTATTGTTTGACACAGAACCTCACAGCTAAACGAGAACGTTCCGGCAAGGTTCTCTCAAAGTTATGAACAAACACTCTAGTTGGACATTCATGTCATGTTTTTTAAATGTTACAAGTCTCAGAATGTTCAGAGAACATTTAAAAGTAATGCTCCCATAGTGTTCACAAATTAAAAAAATGTATAATCTCATAGCCACCCACATGAAAAAATACTGTAGTAATTTATTGTAAATACTATAATGCTTTTGAACCATACTACAGTAAAGTGTGTTATACTGTATATATTATAGTATTTACAATGCTTTGTTAATGAATGCTACAGCATACTGTATAGTGAACTGATAAACTGTAATAAATACTGTAGTATACTTTAGTTTTTACTATGGTAAACTGTAGTGTATTGTAGTATAATATACCCTATAGGTGTAGAAAACCTAGTACAGTATTGGGTAAAGTAATTTGTTTCTTGTCCTCATTTGGATAAAAGCGTCTGCTAACTGTTTATGTTCCTATAGTTGTTATATTACCACAGCAGTTATACAATTACCACGATAAATTAATTCAAGTACTTTACTATTGTATGGTTCAAAAACGCTATAGTATTTAGGCCTACTATAAATTAATACAGTATTTTTTCCATGCAAAATGTTTTTTTTAATATAAAAATTAATAAAAAATTAAAAATTAAAAAAAAAGTTTTTTAAACATTTAACCTACTGTACATTTTGAACGTTCAGAAATCATGTTTTCTAAATGCTTGCAGAATGATAAAGTGGAATGTTACATTTGCATAGCCATGAAAAAAAAGTTCTTACAACATTTAAAAAACTGGACGTTTTGAACGTTCAGAGAACGTTTAAAAGTAACATTCCCATAATGTTTTTTTTTTTTTATTATAAAATTGCACGTTCCTATGACGTTTGCGTAGCCACATTTTTTTTTTTAAACACTTTCAAAACCGGGCGTGCTGAACATTCTGGAATAAGTTTAACGTTAGCTAAACGTTCTCCGAGCACGTTTTTGTTCATGTTTCGCACTAGTAGAGACGCACCTGCTGACTCCAGATGGCCTGTCCGACTGCTTCATCTGTTAATGACACAATCATTACTCACTCACATCTTTCCTTCATTAGTGATCTTCTGTCGCGATTATTTTACCTTTGAGGAGGGTTTGTGTTTGCCGTTCAGCTCAGAGTCCTTCTCTCGGTCTTTAGAGGAGCGTTTGGACTTCTTCTCTCTGACACATCAAACATCTGAGTCAAGTCAACAATGCAAGAGCTCTGTTCGAGTCATGAGTACACGAATCTTTCTGACCTTCTGTCCTGTTTTTCCTTTTCCAGTTTCATCCTGTACGTTTGTATTTTCTGCACAAGTCACTGCAAGGACAGTTGGTCTAATCAAGCATTTGCAGCAGAAATAAAGTCTAAACTTGCAAATAAAAGCCGACTACTGATCATCTGCGCAGTTTAGTCTAAACTCAAAGCATTGAAATGACTCGATTATTTGTGACTCGGGTGTGAAATCTCTTCGTACCTGAGGTTCTCTCACAGCGGCGTCAGAATGCATGTTACCTGTCACACCTGAAAGGTTTTAAGTTCCTCATGCAATCAACTGCGCAAAATCAGCCACAGCGCCACCTGCTGGAACAAACCCACCTGAACATGAAGAGCACATCTGTGATCTCAAGACATTTGGAGCTGTGTGTGATTATTGGATGGAAAATAACAACACGGGGTCATTTATACTGGATCCTATAAAATAACTATTTTAAAGTAGAGACAATCTGCCAGTGGATTTTACATGAAAGTTCAGGATCTTATTAAGATGCATGACTTTTCCACTCATGTAAAACAAGCTTAAATATTCCCTTCACTAGAGGAAGCTGGCCTTAAAATCAACACTTTCCGAAAGCCGTTGATCTCCAGTGAAGTGCAAGCCAATAAACCACAGCCTGTTTTCTGTAAATATAAGACTTAAGTCTTTAAAATAGCTATAATGTGATTTGATGCCAGTTGCATAAATAACCACTATTTCTGCAGGTTTCATGAAGATAAACAATGTTGGGGAAAGTTACTTTTAAAAGTAATGCATTACAATATTGCGTTACTCCATAAACAAGTAACTAACCACGTTACTTAGTTACTTTTTATGGAAAGTAATGCGTTACGTTACTTTTTAAATCTGGACAGGGCTTGCTTGTTTGTTTTTAAAATAAAAAAAGTTATATTTTTGGCAAATATAAAAGCCTTTTCACACCAAAAGTGAAATGAAGAAGCCTCAGGCTGAAGGGAAAGTACAGTAGAATACAGAAGACATTTCAACACACTTCAGCAATAAAAAAAGACACACAAATGTTTGTCTAGAGTAATTTTTGCTTATTAGTAT